CACCTTCTCTCTCTCTCTCTCTCTCTCTCTCTCTCTATATATATATATATATATATATATATATATATATAAAAATAGATAATATAATATAATAAATGATAAATAAAATAAGAATAAGTTTTTAGTGTGCTAAAAATAATAAAAACTAAATTGCCAGTCATTTAAAACAATTTTAAAATGTAATTTAGTTTTTCTAATGAAAAAACTAAACTAAAACAAAAAAATAAAAAGCATCTTTAAAAAAATAAAAAATAAACTGAAATGATTAGATAAGCTGAAATAAAAATTTATTTTTGTTAAATTTGATTTCAGCTACAACTAATTTTTTCTGGTTTTAGTTATGGTTGTACTAGTAACTACAAGTTATCTTCATCATTCTGGTGATATTTTACAATGAGGTTTCATTGGTTAACATTAGTTAACTACATTAGTTAACATTAACTAATAATGAGCAATATTTCACAGCATTTAATCATTTTACGTTTTTATTCAAAAATCTGGATCTGTTAACATGAATTAATGCAACTAACATGAACAAATTGTATTTTTACTAGTGCCGTCAAACGATTAATCGCGATTAATCATCCAAAATCCAAATATAATCCAAAATAACAGTTTTTGTCTGCATACTATATGTGTACTGTGCACATTTATTATGTACATATAAAGACACACACATACAGCATATATTTTGAAAATATTTACATGTATATATTTATATTCATATAAATTATATCATATATAAATATATAAACGTAACATATTTTTCTCTTAAATATGTACATGCATGTGTGTGTGTATATACATAATAAATATACACAGAATACACACATATATTATGTAAACAAAAAGTTTTATTTTGGATGCGATTAATCGCGATTAATCGTTTGACAGCACTAGTTTTTAATCAACTAAAATCTGCAAATGTTGATTAATGCTATAAAACTATGTTATTCTTAGTTCATGTTCAATAATGCACTGACTACTGTTAACGAACATTGTGTTTCTTTATATTACATTCGTTCGTGATTCTTTGGCATGCTTTGATGTTTTCAGTGTTTGCACGTGTGAATGTTTTCTCGTTCAGTCCTGTGTTGTCGAGACAGAGGTTCTCGTGAGCGAAGCTGCGTTTTGTTGCGCAGGCGTTCGACATGCAGAGGGATCTTCAGATCACGCCGCGGCGGCTGGAGTACACTCGAGAGAAGGAGGGCGAGCTCTTCAGCTCTCTGATGGCCATCGCCAACCGGC